CATGCCTATCCCAAGACCTTCTGTGTGATTAATGCTGTTGGCCAGCCCTGCAGGTGACCCAGTGAGCATGCAAGGCTGGGAGTCACTCATAAAGTCTCTGAGCTAGTGACACCAATAAAAAGAAATGCAGAAAGAAGGCGTACAGCAGAAGTATTACTTTAAAAAGAAGTGAAGATCTGAATGGGTAGAGAGACCAGCTATGAATGGCACAGGCTGGGCCCTGGAAGTGATGAAGAAAGGCAAATGCCAACGAGGGAAGACATTCCCTAGTAAACACGAAAATCAGAGGGGCAATGCTATAAGCATTTCCCAAGCAAAACCTGTCAAAGAGAGTATTTGTTGATGCCTTTCATATACCCTAAACTGAGGCTGAGCAATTCTGCTCTCATTGTGGATCTTAGTCCTCTCCATCTCTGGAGAGATGGGGGTGGTTTCAGGAAGCAGCCAAACCACTTCTCAGCCCACCTGTGGTAGGGTACATGTATGAACACCTGAAATCTCTTTCACAGTCATTCTCCAACCTCAGAAAGAGTCTAGATTTGCATTCTTTCCAAGAAGATTTCATTCACAAAACACTACAACAGCTGTGCTTTTTCTGACCTGGCCGATAAAAGCCAGGAGCTTTCCTTGGTCATTCAATAGCCACATCAGAACCTCTTTGTCACTCAGATCTGATATAGTGAGCAGACATCAGACACCTGATTAAACATTGGGCCAAATGCCCTGCAAAAGAAGAAGTGAGACCAATCTTCTCAGACTGCAAAAGCATTTATCAGTGTCTTTCATGTCCAATTTAAGATCCATTATCATTCTTATGCTTCATCGCAAACTCACTGCTGCATGTGCCCATCCCCCAGCTACTCCTTCTTTTACTCAGTCCAGTTTATCCACTCACATCACATACTTTTTACCTTTTTGCTCCTCGAAACTTTTCTCCCATTCTGGTTTTCCTACCTTTTTTTCTCTTCCCAGTTTCCCTCCTGTCTCCTAAAAAGCAGTCATCACTGTTATATGAGTAATTTTTCCCCTCCATACAGATAGAACCAATCTGAATTGTTGGACTGGCAAAAAATTTCTTCTATTACAAAGGAAAAAAAGCAAAACAATCACTGACTTGATATTTTCTACAACTCATTTTGTTTTTTGTTTCGATACCACAGGACTACGAGAAGGGGCATGCTCTCTTAAATACAAAACCTAACAGCTTAAGAGTTGCACAACAATGACAAATAGAGTAATATTTTTTAAAAAAATAACCTTTACCCTTGTACTCGCTCTTATCAATATCAGCACTGTCATACCCACAGTAAATCCAGTAATCCCGTCCTCTCAGCCTTGCTGTCTGATATTTCTTCTAGTGTGCCTTTAATTAGATCACATAATTCTTAGAGCAGTAACTTTGTGTTTTCATTTTTGCAGGAAATTGCTTGGCTCCTCGGGGGGGCTGACTAAATGACAAACACAGTAATAGCAAACCAACTGATCCTCCTCAGCAGGGATTGCAGAGAAGCTCTGTTGACTCAAACACACAAGAGTGAAAGTACGTGACTGATCTGAAAGGAAAAAAACACTTCTGTGAAGGAAATACTGATGAAAACTGTTCTTTCCTTGAATAATTTTAAGACTGAGGATAAAACAAACTCTAGTAATTGGCAACTTTGCTGTTGCTGGAAAGAAAGGTCTGTCAGAGGATGCAAGCAAAAAAGAGAAGTGGAAAGAGATGGCTTCATCAGATGAATGGAAGGAGAGAAAAGTGTTTAAAATCTTGGCTAGACAAGTTTGCCTCAACTTCTGCCTTTTTGTCCTCTTTACCTAAATTATATACACTTCTGATTCAGATTTCACCTTCTGTGGGTGAATTTCACACATAGTAAATTGGATGTCACATATCCAGTGATACTGAATGGGATCCATTTCTGGATTGAGACACTCTAAGATCTGGTCCTCATGAAAAAGACTCCATATGCCATAGTCTGTTCCCACTCCTGTCAGTGGACACCAGTGTAGTCTATACAGTTAGTGTGAAACAAATCAGCTAACCCTAAATTATGCTGAAAGGAAATGCTTTTTTGGCCTTGCTTACTCAAAACTGTTTTGGGAGCTTAGATACCAAGTGTTAAATTAAGGTACCCGCACACAGATTTCTAGTGTCATCTAGGACACCATAGGATATCCCTCTGAGCCTCCAGCTAAAAAGATATAGGTTTTGTGCCAAACCTGTTCATCCTACAGGACTCTCCATGGGGTCTCACGTGGCATGAGACCCTTTTGGTGAAACAGCTGCTTCAGCCCATAGGCCACATAGTGATGAAGAGACAGATTTAAGAGATTATTTGGTCTTTTTAACTTTAAAAAACTGCAGCAAATTTATGTTCAAAATATTTTTTACTGGTAACCAAAAAGCAAGGGGCAAGTCTTTTTTTTATTTAACAGTTCTGTAGCAGACTGCTAGTATAACCCTTCATTACCAGGCAGGTAGGACCCAGCCCACTACTGCCAAGCACATACACTACCTTGATTTCAATGGGACTTCCGTGTCAGTTAAAAGAGCTTTTCTCTTTGCTAGGAAAGCACTAATAGTACAAGTACAAAATAAGATGTTTACAAATGGCCCTTCCTTGAAAAGGAGATATGGTGGGTTCACCCTGACTGGATGCCAGATGCCCATCTAAGCTGCTCAGTCACTCCCTGCCTCAGCTGGACAGGGGAGGGAAAATATGATGAAAAGCTTGTGGGTCAAGAAAAGGACAAGGGGACATCATTCACCAATTACTATCATGGGCAAAACGAACTTATTTCTGCTCCCTGCTCCTGTGTGGGATCCCACATGGGCTGCAGGTGATTATCTTCATCACAGTGAACCAATATGGACTGCAGGAAGACAGTTTGCCTCACCATGGTCTTCACCATCACCTGCAGGCAAATCTCTGCTCCAGCTCCTGGAGCACCTTCTCTCTCTCCTTCTTCGCTGACCTTGGTGTCTGCAAAGTTGTTTCTCTCACATATTCTCACTTCATCTACAGTAATGTATGGGGTTTTTTCCCCCCCTTCTTAAATACATTATCATAGAGGTGTTACCATCACTGATGGGCTCAACCTTGACCAGTGGTGGGTTTGCGTTGGAGTTGGCTGGCATTGGTTCCACTGGACATGGGGAAACTTATAGAAGTTTCTCACAGAAGCCACCCCTGTAGCCCTCTGCTACCAAAACCTTGTCATGCTAACTCAGCACAGTAGGAAACACAGAACAGCTTAACAGATCCCACACACCAAGTGGCTTGCACCACAGTTTATGGATGCCAATGGAAAGGTGCATATTTTAAGGGGAAAGCTCTATGTGTGGCGAGTGTCTTTTGTGTTTGTGGTTTTGCAGTAGCAAAATAATAAAACCACTGCAATTGGTCTTTCTCCAAGTAGAAGGGAAAACAAACGGTTTTTTAAAGGCAGTCTGTTACAACGTGAGTAGTACCTACCAGTTCCTGAGGTACTTGAAATTTTTAGGAACCTGCTCAGTTTTTTTTCCTGAAACTGGTAGTGTAACAGAATACTTTCTAATTCACTTTCCAGTGCAAAGGAACCAAGGCTCTAGGCATCACTGAAGACATATTTAAAATTCTGCCAAAACAGAACGTATCACTTACTGGTGTAATATGACTTCATGATAAAGAACTCTCATGGGAACGGGATATTGTTCATTATATTGCATGTTCCTTATGATCAGTTTTGACAATGTACTGCACCAGGAAAATTGAAATGTCCAATTTAAACTGACCCTCAACATGCAGGTAAGAGAAACACTTTGCAGAGTTTTTAAACATTGATAAGTCTTTAAATGAAACAGTACAAAAATTAAAAGGAGAAACATGGTATGTTTAAGAACCACCTAACCTCAATTTCAGTCATGCATCTAAATGTCAGGTTTTTAATCTAAGCTACTTGTCTAGGCTTCATTTACAGTCAGTGGTGGGAGGTAATTGAGAAGGAAGTACCTGCAGAGGGTAATTCAACACACCTATTCTAAGCATATTATTTAGGATAAAATGAAATAGTGTTTGTAGGTGCCCTCTCTCTCCCTTTCTTAAGAGGAAAACTAGAATACTACTGCAGAAGTTACCTAACTTCTAAAGTGTTAAATGAGATCTAATGAATCCTTTCCTTATGTGTTAAATATAGTGTTTATATATAAGGTGACAGGGAGAGGGGAGAGGGGAAAGGGAAGGGATCCAACTTATCAACCTTGTATATTTGTAAACAAGGCTAAATACTAATGGAATAAATATGTGGTTGGTTGTTAGTGAATTACAAAAAAAAAGCCAACCTAAACTCAGAATTTTTATAAGCAAAGTTTATGTAACAAAGATAGATGATAAATCTGAAACAGCATCAACACTAGATACTTAGTATTGTAACAGGGATAATAGGTGTTCCTCTGTAGTTTCAACAGACTGACTATGGTGCAGAACAGTTTTCCCAGTTTCTATTCAAAGCTGAATTTCACCCATAGTAAATTAGAATTCTCTGGCTACTTGCCCATAACCTTTAAACTTTTCTGGTTGATGATCTTAATATGCAAAGGCTTTTTATCAGTAAACTATGTCTGGATGGGAATCAAACTCAGACTCCTACTCCTTTTCCATGCCACAACATTTTTGTAAAGCTGAACAAACATATTACACCGAACCCAGGGCTTTGAAGTGTAAACACCAATACACTATATTAACACAAAACAGTCCAAAAATAAGACACTTGTAGCCAAATTATTTCTCTAGTATGCAATAGCTGAACAATGCAATATCTTTACCTGAAAAGATACCGCGTAACTGCAATCAGTATTTAAGTGGTGTCTGAAATGGATTATCAACCTTGGGGTTTTTTTTTCCCTTATGCATTCATGACTAAAAATAAAAAAGAATTGTAAGCTTGACAGCCTCATTTCAGACACTTCTTGTAACAACTATTAAAAGACCATCATCACATATGCAGATTTGAAGAAATTATACCTGAAAAGACTTTCATTATCTGGCATAATCCCTCTCCTCTGCAAAGGAAATGCTGGATTTCTGGAAGTAAGTTTACCTGTATATAAAAAGAGAAGCTTTAATGATTCGATTCAAAAAAGTGTTCTTTTTCCTGGAGCTGTCAATAGGTTTGTGTTTAATTTATTATAGAGATCTCATGCACACAACCCCTCTCAGCCTCAAAAAGGAATTACAAATTTGTTATCTCTGCAAATGGGAAGATGAAACTAACGTGTGGTCTCTTCCTCTATGGCCATCAGAAAACAAAATCTTAGACTTGCAGCTCTCCTCTTGGCTGCTGAGTTTTCACCCTTTCCGTGCCCCCTTTTCAGTTTCTGCAGCTTCTTGGTTCTCTGCCAGTTATCAATCACTGTCTCTCCCAGCATGGAAGCAGCCTATGCCTCTTGAATTGCTGTGCTTGGGAGCAGGGGTAAGCTAACACAGCTAAACCACATCCAGGCTCTGCAACAAAGAACCGTGTTGCGTCGTGGGATGGATGTGCCAGCAGCGAGTAATATTAGTCCAATATTTAAAGTTATCTGGAGATGTGGGCCATCTGGTTTAAGTCCCTGCTGTGCTGCAGACTTCCTGAGAGAACCTGGACAATTGCTTTGATCACCTCCTGTCTCAGTTATTCATGCATGAAAACTTCTGGACCTTGCAGAGAGCTGTAAGAATTATTATGTTGCACATTATTAGAGGCTCAGATACGATAATATGGGTAGGACAAGGGAAAAGCAGTTTGCAGAAGCCTGGGGTGTTGTACAGTCTAACAACTGAATCCAAAGCTTATATATTTCCAACAGACTGGAACTGCTATAAAAAATGTCCCAGGGAACCTCAGTGTATATGCTCTTAGCTCTGTCTTCCATGGACACACAGTGGTATTTTGTATCCTCATGAATTTCATACCTGAACTAAATACTTTTAAAAGCAGTTCTATTTCTCCCAGTTCCTCAAGTCAGAGTCTCTACTTTTGGGTATTTCCATTATCATCTGTGCCATTTTATTAGACATACAAGCCAAACTGTATCTATAGTTTGGTCACATTTTTTCAAAGAAAGACCTCACTTTAAGTCACTTACATATTTTTACCAACAGATCAGGTGCTTATTTAGACATTTGCATATCTAAGTAATGTAATCTGTGCCCACAACACACAAAGAAACAAACAAATAAACAATAAATAAATGGATAGATAAATAACTAGATAAATAAACAAATAAATAAATGATTGAATAAATAGATTAATAAATAAATAAAAAAGCAATCCCGAAAATACCAAGAAATATTGGCACCACTGATGCTTTAGACCGCGAGTAAGCAGACTGCAGTGACAGAGCAAGAAACTCCCATAAAGGCGCTGGAGAACAACACTGAGTCAGCTCGCACATTGTCAATTGTAGGAGCATTGTCAGCATTGTCATGGTTTGGAGAAGTGCCTAAATTATGTTTACAAAGGAGAAATTACATTACATGAAAATCAGTAATGATATAACATGTGAAGTCTAAATTAATCTAGCTTTATTTTCTGCCTATGCTATTATTCTGAAATAGTGCTTGCATTTGCTAGTTGTTTCTCCCGATTTCTAAGTTCTTTTCCAGTGGGGTAACTTGCTTAAATTTCCTTCGACTTCTGTTGACACTTTTGTTGCCTGACATAATGGTTGAAGGTGGCCAAATTTCAAACTAAAGAAGAGAAAAGGAAAGTTGACAATCCATTGTAAGAGTTTTCAGCATTTACACTGAAATACTTAGGTCCAATATAACAAATTATATCCAAACCAGAAATTGCTTTGGATTACTGGATGTGACGCAAAGAAGAATGAAAGTATCTCACAAGTACTTCTCAGTAGAAGGAAACTTAAAAAACCTCTTTTTTTATTGCTATTAAACCATGCTGCTGCAGTACAAAATAAGCATTTCTTTTTGTGAATGCTGAAAGTTTGGGTTAGCTCTGTCCTCTTGTTCTCATAAAGGATATCACAGTAATCTCATACCTTCTGGAATAATTCTAGATGATTCAAGTCTTCTGTTTGAATGCAGCCAGTACCATCATTTTTTCTGGATAATAAGCAGATCAAAAGATCCCAAGGGCCTATAGCACCTGTCAGGAAAGATGTATATTGAGAAAGCAAATACCATACAATTCGTATTTGAACAAAAAAAAAATGCCGAACCAAATCCTGAGGAACAACAAACTGTGGGACTGCTAAGTACATGAACAGCTACACGTGGCAGAAGGGAAAAAGACATATTCACTACTACAGCTCAAGTTTTGGAACTGTATTTGGTATTTCACAGTTGGTCCCTCCTGTTATAACTGCCTGCTGATGTCCATTCCTCTGGTGTTTCCCCTGTTTATCATTGAGAATTCAAAAAGTTCATTAACGTGATGCTGCTTTCGTTTGTTCTTTTTGCTGAACTCCTCAACATTCACACTTGTAACACACATCCACTATATGCAGTGTGATCTTCTGAGGTCTTTCCTTATTGGGCAGTAAATTTTACAGGAATACTAGTTACGCTGTTGCAAACAGTAGGAATTCTTAGCCTGAATTTTGCTGTAGTGGCTTCCTAAATATTAGACACCAGATTGCCAACATGTAGAACGGATGTACAAGTGGGAATTAAGTTGCACTGAGCAAGTACCTGGCTTCTGAGCTAGCTCTGATGCTTCCTTTCTGGGATGAAGCTGACCTGTGAGACCATGAGGTTCCACTATCAGGAAACAAGCAAGATGAGAGTCAGAGATGGCTGCTTGAACAGGAGGCAAAATTCAATTGCATCGATTAAAATACTGTTGTGGATTAGAAGGTACAAGCAGGTCTTGGAGTTTGCCCACATCACAGCATGTGATGTGATGTGGAAGTGCTGATGTAGTTTCAAGTGAGCATGGTCAGCACCCTCAAGAGTTATTTGTTTTCCTCTGCATACAGCCTTCATAATCTGGATTAGTTAGAGATAGTGATATCTCTCAGAAGATTAACAGAATCACTACATTAGTTGAGGACACCATGAATATGTTCAATGAAGGGTAAACCATTTCAGTGACAGGATGACAATTAGAAAAAAAGAACTTCCAAACAGAAAGGGCAGCCAAGGAAGCTGTGCAGCATCCAAGGCAGGGTAAAGCATTAGGTCAAAGTTCTTTGCAGGACAGCTATTTCATCCACTATTTAGTTGCTTTTTTTTCCTAAGGTAGGGAAGACTACACGTGTTGTGTTCCATTTTGTGCTACCCATCTGTGATGGCTTCCTAATTTTATTAGATTGCTCCCTAAATTTTGTCCCGCCAACAGCCCACAGAGATACTTACTTTGGCAGATTTCCCTCTCAAAAACATTATTTTTTCCTATCCCAATTCCAATCACAAGTGTCAAGCAAGGTGAAGATTCCACTTGGAGAGATTTAACAATTTATGATCACTAGTGAGCTGATTGTGCAAAATGGGTCCAGGACTATGAAAGCAACTATCACATTTTATGTTTATAAGCACTGCAATGAAGCTGAAGAGATGAATTTTCAGTTACACTGCATCTATTAATGTAAAGAATTCTTCAATTTCATGTTATGAGAACCAGTATTATAGTATAAAAATAATTAAGGTATGTGAAATCTAGGCACGACAGATTCACTACGTGCTCCTTTATGAAAGAAATAAACAGAAAAACTACAGGTATATAAAACCAGCACAGATAGCAAATAACTGAAACATTAAAGAAACATACAAGCAAATACTTCATTTTAGTGCAAAAGGCTGACAGTGTTAACCTATTCAATGACCTCACCAGCTATGTAATTATGAGATTAGCAAGATGTTATGTCTTTGATTAGTAAACACCTTTGAATAAATCATTATAATTACACATAAAGCACAATGCCTAGCTGTGTGCAAATTGAAAGGGAGCTGAAGGGAACTCCATTTCTCAGCCACAGTTCATTTCCTTCCCTTGTTTATTGTTACATGTCCTGGCCGCGGATGAATTTGATCCCTGACTCCAAAGGACATACTGCACTCTGTATCATTCACCTTTAGGACAAGGCAGAGTGATTCATATGAATGTGCTGAAGAGAAGAAAAGGCTAAAGGGCCCTCAGACTTTGTGTGTTTCCAAGTACCCGGGAAGTAGAACAGTTAACTGCTAGGAACAATTTTTTCAGGAGGGGTTGAATGCCTGCCATTATTTGTGCTTTCTATTTAGAGCAATTAGACATCTAGCCAGTTATTTCAGTACAGAACAATCAGAACTGAAACATGTCTAATTATAGAAAACAGGAGACTTCCTATTAGAAAAACAGCGTACACCTAGCACTGTCTCTCAGATTCAGGCTGACAGAGCAGTATGAGTCCTATTTCAAATATCAATATATTCCTCATCATGTGAGCTAAAACATTCTACAATAAAAGAGAAAGGAAGAACAAAAATGACAGTAGTAACACAAGTCATCTGCATGGAAAAACTCATTTTTCAAAATGGTTTTAGAGATGTTTTATGAAGAAGCATTGATAATGTCTATATTATTCCATCTTCAATGTACACACTGTTTTGGTGGCTTCCTGCAGGCCACAACAAAAGCAGGATTTGATAGGACACTTGAAGTGGAAGGTTAAAATGGATACTTTATATAGGAACGATTCAACTACTAGCAATTGGTGTAAGCTTTTTCCACACAGAGAGCTTGGTCTACAATTAGGGTTATCTTGTTTGTGTTATTCAGACAACCAATGGAGTTCAGCATGCAGGAGCAGCAGACCAGTTAAACAGCACGAAATCCCACCTCATGGAGATAGTCTCTACTGCTTTGTACTACTTTGCTTTTGAACAAATAGAGGAGTGGTAACCTAAGATAAGAGTAAGCAACTGCATGTTCATCCCCTCTCTGGGCATCTTTTCAAACCAAGAATTTTTTAGTTCAGCCTGTTAAGGTCTTTCCTAGACAAGGAATGTTCATCTGCAGAATTGCAGGCGACTCTTATTCCAAATTCTATTCAATTCAGGGAGTGATAGGTTTCAATTGAAAATTGATATGATGTACAAATTATAATTTTCAACAAGATATGACTGTTTTCATTGGCTTTGACTCTGACTTGTCACTTGGAATAATTAAAACTGTTAATGTGGAAAAATAATTTAAAGATAATAATCTGGCAAGAAAAACAAACACCGTTTTAGCAGCAATGGAAATAGCAATGCAGAGATCAGTAAAAACATTTAACTTTTTCTATAAAAATATTATGCAGAGAGTTTTTATATTCTGATATCATAGATCAACGTGAATAGAAATAAAATGAGAATTGTAGCATTCGGTGGGATTTTAAGCTTACTGCATATACATTTTACAGATGAACTCCAAAACTATTTGAAAGTGACATCTAAAATGAAATTATCTTATTCCAACCCTTGAAATTAATGTGTTCTCCTCATGAGCTATCACACTGGAGGCTGGATATTGCAGGAGAATTGTTAGATGCATGTGGCTCCCTGGTGTTTTTAATTTCTAATGTGTATACACAGAAAAAAATATTAGCTGATTAACCAAATGGATAAATTTCACCTCAATACCATAGCTTGAAATGTCATTTTTCAGTGTTAAGGTCCCCAACCTGAGTTCTGAAATGCAAGGACTTTTAAAATCAAATAAAATTCTTGTCTTCTATGCTCATCTTCCTGTACTTCATCCATTCTGGTAAATGAAAAGCCTGGTTGGCTTCATTTTTATTTTAATTTCTAGTCAATTTGCAATTTTGCACTTGCTTGCACCATCACCCTAAAATTAATTAATTTACAAGCACTAGAAGATATGAAGATTACAAGAAACAATCAACACTTGTTTGTCAAGAATATATCATGTAAAACTAGTCTAATTTATTGTGACAGAATAACTGATTTAGTGAACAAAGGAAATAGCAGCAATGAAACAGTTTGACTTTAAGGAGTCTTTGGACAATATTTCCATATAACATAGTTACAAGATGAGTACACAGCTGTTTGGAAAAATGAAGTCTACACTATCAAGGTGGATTTATTTACTTTTTTGAGCAGAACACCTAAGGATATCCTACTGTATATTCATTTCTATTCAAATCTTTCAGTAACAAATTGAATGATGAAACAGCAAGTGAATTTATAAATAATAAATGACTCCAAGTTGAGAGGAAGTATAAGCACTTTGGAAGACATGTTGAGAACTAGAAAAAATTTTGATAAATGGTCCAAATTCAACCCGAGGAACATTGAAAGTACCATAATACCGAAGGAGAAGTCAGATTAACAGGTACAGTTGGCCAGAGAGTGTTACTGTAGAAAAGGATCAGATTCATAAGTGAATGAATTAACATTATAATACTGTTGCAAAAAAACCTAAACCCAAAAATGTAAATAACATCTGAGTTGTTGGCAAAGATCTGTTGGTGCTGAAAGAGTTGAATACTCCCATTTAGAACTGCAGTTTGATTATATTCCATGCCAATTCCCCACACAATTCTAAATAAGGGGATCTATGTCATTACCCACATAACCCCACAGACATTACAAATTGTAGCCAAACCTATTTGTGAGAGTTACATACAAAGATCCGGGGGTAATGCTTCTCTGCTGTTGTTAACACCTCACCAGTAACATGCTTCCCAGTTTTGGAAAACACAGATTCAGTAGAGGGTTACAAGAAGGAGGTTTTGGAAGACTTTGTACTGGATCTGACCGAGATGAAGGTAATCCTCTTCCCAGCAGCTCACACATGCTGTCTTTTTGATTTTACCAAACCAGTGTTCATAACGCACCAATGTATTCGTTACCGATGAGCAGTGCTTACACCACATCAAGGCTCCTCATCCCGCCACACCAGCGAGGAGACTGGGAATGCACAAGGAGTTGGGAGGGGGGGACACAGTTGGGACAGCTGACCCCAGCCGACCAAAGGGATATTCCAGACCTTACGACATCATGCTCAGTATATAAAGCTGGGGGAAGAAGAAGGAAGAGACGGAAGCTCAGAGTGATGACATTTGTCATCATTCCCAAGTCACTGTTATGTGTGGTGGTGCCCTATTTTCCTGGAGATGGCTGAACACCTGCTGGCCCATAGGAAGGGGTGAATGAATTCCT